ATTTCTTCTTTTATAACCAATATCCTACCTAATTCCAATTCATTTGATTGATAGACTCGAAGGTCTTTGGTCCGATCACTACTCACTCCGTAAGTGCGCACTGCCACTAGGAAACCCAATGTTAAGAAGATATAGTTTATCTAATGCATTCTGCTTTTAAGTAGATGTTTTGTTAAAATCAATCCGTAATATAGTCTACACAAACTCTCTACAGTCATTTGATTTCATCGGTTCAACAACTAACTTGAATGTATCATTGAAAAGAATGTTATGATTTGACATTGTTTTATGTGTTTCTCTCATAAAAATAATTGGCTCCCACTGTATTTGTGTTAAACAATAATCTGGTAGTTTAATTCGATCCCACATAAATAGTGTAAGGCTCAAATACAACTGCATCTACCCGAATATAACGATAATACTCAAAAAACTTAACTTGATGTATGTATTTGAAAACGCCTTTCAAAGAATTACTATGATTCATCTATAACCTGCCAGGTGGCTCGCTTACTGAATTAGAATATGCCGATGACATAGTCCTACTTGGTGAAGACGCTGACAAAATGCAGAGCCTTCTGACCACCCTAAGCAACATTGCAAGCATGTTCGGGATGCGGTTCTCACCCTCGAAATGCAAAATGTTGCTTCAAGAATGGGTTGCATCAGTTCCTGAACTGGTGATAGGGAGTGAAGTAGTCGAGCGTGTTGACCGCTTCACTTATCTGGGGAGTCCGATCAGTATCGATGGTCTGGCGACTGACGAAATCTCAGCTCGGATCCAGAAGGCTCGATTGGCTTTTGCCAAGTTGCGTCACTTACGCCGTAGGCGAGATATCCGTTTGCTGACTAAAGGAAAAGTGTACTGCGAAGTAGTTCGCTCCGTCCTACTAAATGACTGTGAAACATGGCCAGTGAGAGTAGAAGATATTCGTCGGTTACTGGTTTTCGATCATAGGTTTCTTCGAAGCATTGCTCGTATTTCCTGGGACACCCGATGCTTTTATCAGGAAACGGGTGCTAGTTAAGGATGGCAGATCAATAGATGAATTAATGAAACTTCATCAGTTGAGGTGGTTGGTACATGTGTTGCGTATGCCTAACCACCGACTGTCTCGTCAAGCTATGTTTTGTGGTGTAGGAGTAGGTTGGAAGAAAACTAGGGGCGGCCAAACCAAAACATGACACAAATCCATCAAGTCACTGACAAGTGATCTGAATCATGTCGGTAGCTGTCGACTACCTGGTTGGGGTCCGCGAGACGATAATAATCGATGGTTTGAGACCCTGAATGACATGTCTCAAAACCGTTTGCAATGGCGCCGGTGCATTTAGTCTTTGTGTTCTTTCAAATCTTAATCTTCTGGATTCTCCAACCCCTTTAGTTTTGACTTTCTAAACTTTTCTCACTAAATCATACTTCTTGAATAATATCTTCTAATCCTAACCTCTCCGATTACTTCTAATAACTTTACTACCTCTTCTACCAATGGATTTGAATTGACAATTATATCTCTGTGCTGATGTGGTATGGCAACATGAACTGACGTACTTACGTACGAAGTTCTACGTTGCATCTGACTGACTGACTGACGAGAGGATAAGTAACAGTGTAATTGTGTCAACACTAAATTCTATTCTAGAGAACTGTTTCATGTTTAACTGGGTGAATAAAATGCTCTGATCAACGGTGGATAAATTCTACTGATATAAAACAAACAGATCATATTTTCATCATCTCACAGAAAAATCATTTACTCACTAATATCATACAAAGGTTCATTAACTGACACGAGTCATTTATTTGTGTAGTTAAATCAGACGTGGGCTCGAAGTTTTCCTGTCAGAGTGTTTTGTGGAAGAAAACTCAAATGATTACCAACAATCATTGTTACTGATAAAACAAAGTTGGAGTAGGAAGTATAGATGTTTCTATGGTCTTGTAACCAGTAAAATGAATGATTAATTCATTCTTTCTCGTCAAAAGTTAGATAATTGTAGGCTTATAACATCATCAGCGATAAACTTAGTAAATTCAAGAAAACACCTATGGAAAGCATCTATCTATTCAATCAGATTGATTAAAAGACTTTTGAAATCATATCACCACGTTAGAAGGTTCATCAGTTAATTAATGGTGCTGTTGAGGATATCCATGAAAAAGCTGCACAGGTATTGTTTTTCATTCGAAAGTTAAGATGTGAGTATAGGAGTAAACTATTGTGGATGTGCGAAGTATTTATCTATGTAAGGCAATGGTCCATCTTCTCTAGTTAAGCTAGAAACTTGTAAATATTCAAAGACTATAAATCTTTGTACTAGACTTTACCGATAAAGCTTTCTTAGTAGTCTTCTTTCACATAACTAATTGATCATGCGTTAAGAACATGGTAGTGGTTGTATCACGCCAATCAACATAACACTTGTTCATGAACTTCAGCAGATGTCCTGAAAAATAAGCTCTTGATATTATCTAGGAATGAATTATTCTGTTGAACTTTATATCTTTTTCTTTAGTGGGTACATGACTCGTAAATATTTAAGGAATAAACTGCCACTGTAGGTCACTTCCATTTGTAGTTATTAATGTACTTTATTTTGTGGGGAAATGTGTACTTGCCATACAAAGAGTCGTTTTCCTAAGAGCCCATCAATACATTACTCTTCTTGGTTATTTTAAACGAAGAATGTAAATCAACGAACAATTCTAGTACTATACAGTGCTCTTGATTTTTATCTAACACCATGGATCATACTGAATTCATTTATGTGATCAACCTTCATTCAGCAGAAAGGAACAAAACGGCAAATCCTGTCACGCCAATCCACTATATATTAGAAATTATAGTAAGATTACTATTCGTTTTTAATCTGAACTATATCTGATATCCTATCAAGGCACTTAGTTACATGATCATTACTGCTGGTAAATTCAGTTTCTACACAGTTAGTTTTACCAATGATTGTCTGGCTGTAGTAAGTTCAGCATCTCTATTGATGAATTTTGATAGTCGTACAGAAGTTTATTGTTAATCGAATACTGATGGTAGTTTTTGACGATTATTATTTTGCACTGATTTTCTCGGTGTACTGAATGAAAGTATGCCTAGATATTGTATAATCTTATTTATTTATGATGATTTATAACGTTGGTTGTATATTGTGGTGGTGGTGTTTGGTTCTCTGAGCTGGGTGTTTTGGTTGTGGAGCTTTCATTGTTCTTCTGAACAACATCATCAACACAAACTTCAGATAGGCGAAGTGAAGTATTCGAATTTCTCCATGTTTGACCTGTAGCTTGTTCTGCTAACCTCGATCTTGATTGGTTGCTATTGACCTTAAACCTGTCGTTGTTTGTACCTTTGTTTTGATTGCATCCCCCTTTTGACCTGTTTCTTGATCCTATGTCACCTATGATTTTCCTGATTTGTTAATAAATTGGGTCAATGTCGATGTGTCTGTTGATTGCTGATTGACCTGAGTGCCAAGCTTCTAAAAATTCCCTAGTGTTCTTTGTCCTCCCCCTACCCAGTATTTCCACATTGTTCCAATCAAATGTGTGTCCATAATTGTCGGTGTGTATTGATGATATAAGCGAAGCGTTTTCGTGGCGTTTGACTGCTAATTGGTATTCACTTAAACGAAGCTGAAGAGGCCGTCCACTTTGTTCTATGTAGTGTTTTTCACATTCCGAGCAATTTATTTTGTAGAAGGTATTTGGCTTTTCTTCCTTTGTCATTTCGTCCTTTGGTCTACATAGGATTGATTGAAGTGATTCTGTTGGTTTGTGTGTCACACCTATTCCAAATGGTTTCAGTAGCCGTGCTGTATATTCTGATATGTCTTTTATGTTCCTGTGCTTGATTTCGCTTCTGATAATGGTTTCGGTTGATATTTTTTGATGAAGTTGCGTGGATAGCCGTTCTTCTGGAAGATAGTCACCAGGTGTTTTTCCTCGTTATTTAGTGCTTCGTATGTGCTGCAGTGTGTCTTCGCTCTCTTGAACAAAGTTTGCATGCAGTTGATTTTGTGTATTCTTGGGTTGTTGCTATCGTAGTTGAGAATCACGTCTGTGTGGGTTGGTTTCCGAAATACTTGAGCTTCCAGTTTTCCTGTGTTGGTTCTGGTGATTAGTACATCCAGGAATGATAGACTGTTGTTTGATTCCTTTTCCATCGTGAATTTAATGTCATCGAAGACGTTCTTGGTCTGATTGTAGATGTTCTCCAGCTCGTTCTTTTTGATGATGACGCATGCGTCGTCTACGTAGCGAACCCACATTTTTGGTTTGATCACTGGTAAAATCGGCGCTTCCAGTCTCTTTATTACCGCTTCCGCGATGTGTCCTGATATTGGTGATCCCATTGGTGTTCCTTTTATTTGTTCGTATACTCTGTTGTTGAATTGAAAATACGTTGTTAAGCATAGATCGACGAGTTCAAGCAGACTTTGACTCTGAAGCTTCGTATATTTGTGCAGATTTGTGTCGTTGACGAGGAGCAGGGAAAGAGTTTCCTTAGCTAAGCTTGGTTCTATTGAGGTGAATAAGGCTGTTACGTCGAAGGATATCATCGTCTCGTCGTTGTCGATTTGGTTGTATAGAATATCTTATAAACGACTTTGTTCATACAGTAACAGTATCCAGTGATTAGTAAAAATAAGTGTACCTATATATATAACTATCCATTATTAAGAATTCTTCATAAAATGAAACATGATCAATTAGTCTTAGCAATAGAACATGTATATTTTAAAATTACATTTACACTACTCAAATAATTTATTAGTAGCTGATTCAATATATAAGAAATAAAATGAAATAGTAAATGGCAAAAAAAATGATGTATAAAATAAAAAATTGTCGTTATTCTACCTATAAATATAAAATGTTAATTATATCAATGCAACAATAGAAAAATAAGTAAATAAATAATTGATTGTAAATAAATTTATACTCAATAATAACAATGCTGAATCAATATGAATAGAACGAATTAAATTTTTCATACATATGGTCTCCATAATCGTTCAAAACTTGTCGATTCTGTTAAACATATTCTTTCATTATTCATAGTTAAAACTGAACTATTATTATTATTATTTTTACTATCATCACTATTGTTTTTTCCATGATTCAGACTACCAAACGATTGATTTCCATTAGTATAATGGTTGTTTAAATTAGATTTTGAATAATTTTCATCTTTCATTATTGATGATTTATAATTTAAATGACTATTTAATAAATCTGGATACATTTTTGAATGTGGAGTCGATTGAATATGGTGGTGTTGCTGTTGAAGATATGATCGACTGATTACTGTTGGATTTGATTGGTAATAACTATGTTGACCAATCAAATTATTATCATTATTATTATTATTGTTGTTCAATGGGTTCAATGGTTGACGTTCCACATCTTGTTCAGGCATATTTTCATCACAATTACAAGTTGGATAATAGGATGTATCTTTTTTGATCAATACATTTGGGTCAGTTTGCAGATGTTCATTACCAGTTATGTATTGATTTTCCTTATTCAGATCATCTGTGGATGTGAACATGATTGATGGTTGATAATTGATTAATTGAGAATAGTTTGTGGTTGGAAGTGAATGGTGTTGATGTTGTTGTTGTTGTTGTGTATAGGATGATTGATATGGTATTGTTGAATCAGTACTTGTTATATTCTGTTGAGTATAATTGTACAAGGGATAATTATTGATTTTTGATGAATGATTATTATTATGATGATCATTGTTTTTGTCAAAATAATAATTATTGATTGACTGATGACTTGATGATTGTGGAATGGATGTTAACAAACGATTTGGATAATAATAATTTTGATGATGGTGATGATTATTATTTGGATAAACTAAGGGGACTGCTGAGGATGATGATTCAATTTTTGTAGGATAATTTGAATTTTGAAATGGATACATTAGTCTACAATTGTTTTGTAATTGTTGTTGTTGCTGTTGGGATTCGAACAAGGTTGTTTTTAAACGATTCTGATTTAATTCTTTTTTAAGAAATGAAACAACCAATTCTAGTATGTCAGCTTTTTCTAATTTACGATGATGACGTGGCTAAAATGTAATGAAATAAAAATATGTAATTGATGATTTTCATTAGTAAGTGACACAGGATGTGGTGTGAGCTACTTATAAGTAGTATATGACGTGAGTGTCAACGTCATGTCTGGTAGAAGAAGATGGGGGAAGATCAAGTGAAAGGAAGAGTTAGAAGAACACAATGGAATTTGTATGAAACGCATGAATAGTAGTGACAATGGATTGATGTTTTGCAACAGGAACAGTCCAGTTCGATATGATGGATTGATATTTTGCAAATGAACGATTTACGATATGGTTTTCCGATTTTACTGAGTAACTCTGTAATTTTCGTTAAATACAATTCGGTTGCCCCACCTGTGTTTACGTTCACTACAACAGGAGAGATGTCCATCTACTAACCCATGGAGGGAGAAACGGACCACCCAACAGTTTGCTGTGTGCTAACCTGTGAGTATGTGATAGCATTATGGTCTATGAAATTAAAAAAAACATGCATAACAGCCTAATTTTGATGATAGATATCGCCGCCGAAGTATTTTGTTACATGTGTGTTTAAAAACCACCGCATTACTTATTTATTTAAACATATGGTTGTCGGTTAAAAAGACGTACCAGTATTCTTTTCTGTCGGACATTGATGACAGTTAGACCATCTAGCTGACCGGATACAACTAACCATACGCTAAGAGATTTTCTTCGTTAATAATTGAATTCAAAGGATCAGATTCAATTTTCACTCTTTTCACCACCACACAATAGATAATCAATCACACCAACGCAAAACAAAAATGCTCATTTTTCATTTTTTTTTTTAACCTTTGATAGTACATGTTGTAACATGTAATATCAAAACATATATATATGTAGATATATATTTGTAACATTGTGTACTTTTATTAATTGACAAATAAAACGTTTATATTTTAATTGACTCTTATTGTTTGTTGCTAAGGTTTCAAGGCAAACTAATAATAATAATAATAATTTTCATTAGAATACTCAAAATCAAAGTGCAAAAACAAATCTTTCCATACTTTAGTGGTGTGGTGTTTAGAGGTTAGAATACAAAAAAAGAAAACGAAATGATCAAACCGGAATCAGTTGAGGTGATGATTTGTATGTATGTCGCGATATGAAGTGGAGAGAAGACTAAAAATTTGTTATACTAGGCTCTCCCTGTGAAATGAGTAGTATGTAGGTATTTTACAATTTTGTGTTTAACATAGAAATTGTAACATAACTTTTTAACAAGCTGAATATATCAATCAGTAAAAATCCTCGATGTTAATGCACACAGTTATTGATCCTTCTAGGGGACTCCTTACTTACTTACTTACGCCTGTTACCCTCAATGGAGCATAGGCCGCCCACCAGTTTTCTCCAACCAACTCTGTCCTGAGCTTCCCTATCCAGTTCTGTCCAATGTTTTTTCATTCCTCTCATATCTTTCTCTATTTCTCAGCGTAATGTGTTCCTTGGCCTCCCTCTTTTCCTTTTTCCTTGAGGGTTCCATGTAAGGGCTTGTCTTGTGACGCAGTTAGGTGCTTTTCGTAGTGTGTCCTATCCACTTCCATCGCTTCTTCCTGATTTCCTCCTCCACTGGAATCTGGTTTGTTCTCTCCCACATTTCGTTGTTGCTGATGGTGTCTGGCCAACGAATACGAAGTAATTTGCGTAGACAACTGTTGATGAATACTTGTATCTTCTGGATGATGCCTTTCGTAGTTCTCCATGTTTCCACTCCATACAGTAGAACTGTCTTGACATTTGTATTGAAAATCGTGATTTTGACTTTGGACTTTTTTGGACTCCTTACCCAACACCAAATAACAATAATAATAATAATAATAATTATTATTATTATATATTATGCTAATCGATGATTTCAGTTCTTTGAAATAAATTTCTAAGGAGTTAGTAGAAAGTTGTTGCTGGTAAATTTCATCATAAAGGCAGTGAAATATTTATCACGAATGACATTGGATGATGTCATAGTATGGAATGAAGCATCAAAAGTTGGAGATGTAAACGATGTAAACTTTGTTGGGCTGAATGTGATTCTAGGAAGAGAATCACTGATAAGGTTGCAGTTACATACAACAGGGGAGTTACTATAAAATTATTGAATGTTTTGTCTAGTAATATTCCATTGACAATGATTTCATGGTTTATAAGTGAAGAATCAGTAGGTTAACAACTTGAATGAAAGTTCGTTGTTTACATGGATGAATCCTAACAGTGCACATCATTTAAAAGCATATTATTAAATTACATTTCATACTCATCAACTTAATGTGTAATCAACATAAGCGAAATTTTATTTGAATATTTCGAGTTCAAAAAGAAGTTTCTTAATGAGAAAGGTAAGCTCGCTATACAACGAAATAAATCAAATCACCGATTAATGCATAAATTTGCTATGATGTTCTTATGAATCATTCCCCCAAAAGGTCAATAATATAAGAATCTATAAACATTAGCGCTAAATGTAATGGTTTGGCTTTTATCGACCTCCGTCATCTGTTACTTACTTAATTACTTCTGTTACTCCCTAATGGAGCATAGGCCACCAACCAACGAATTATTTTTCTGGATAGCGTTTTTTAAGCAAGTTGGATTTCACGCCAAACCCTCCTCCTTTAACCGGGATTGGGACTCTAGAAAGGCTCCAGGCAGAGTTTATGTCAACTGTAGAGTAAGTGTAACAGATATACATCTGTTTATTAGAGAATGAGTATACTACACAGCAGTCCGTTCTGTTATGCTTTGTGGCAGTAAACTATCTTTAGATAGTATAAGTGGACTTCAGTATCGATCCAACATTGTACTTGTTGATGTAAAGATTGCTCCGTAACTAAATAACTATTAATAAATTCATGTACTATCTCAGGAGTAACTCCATATTAACATATCAAATAATAACATTATACTTTGTTTTCACGAACTTTGTTTTAAGGATTAAACTAAATTCAAACTCTTTAACTACTTCACAATTCAATATTTGAAATCATGAATCGATCAAAGTTAGACCACCATCAAAAACCTGGAAGCACTGGACGGCCGTTTCGTCCTGGTATGGGATTCACCAGCAGTGCATATCCACACCTCTAAGGATTTGAACCCAGGACCTTCGGTCTTGCGCTCAAACACCTAACCTCTGGACCACTGAGCCGGTATCTAACGGTGTTAATATCTAACTTCGACCAACTCACAAAGTTGCGCAACCTCATACACTGTCTTCGGTAGTTACTATCAACACCCGAACAGGGTTGAACTTCACTGGTCACGACTTCTCTCTAGAACTTAGAGAAGACTCCTCACGAAGCTAGTCACTAGTGAGCACAGGTCCAATGCTTTCAGGTTTCTAATGGTGGTCTAACTTTGATCGATTCATCATACCGTAATACCATTCAATATATCGATTGGCTGATTCCATATAGCACAAGTTCAGTCAGTGTTTAACTATCCTGGAAGTATAGTTAGTTATCTGTTAGTTGGATTTTTTGTACTCATCACAACAAATTCAATAAATTATAAGGTGAATAACACTCACAAGTGTTCTCTATTGTCAAATAGATGATCATTATTATTATTATTATTATTATTATTATTATTATTATTATTATTATTAAAAAACAATCATACTTAGTAAAGAGTCCTTTTTTTTATCTACACCATACGTCATGGCCATTAATCAATAATTCATTTCAAGGACATTTATTATATGCATCCACATATAATTAGTTGAATGTGTTTCTGTTAGAGAATGATCGATTCACGTGAAAATTTAAAAAATGCAACACCTGTGTTAATGTAGGTATGAGACATAATTCACGAATTATTTTACTAGAAAGAGAGGATATGATAGTTAGATATTGATAATTGCTAGTTTGTTTAAAACAAACAAACAAACTTCTTTTTTGAACATTTACAAATTTAAAAGCAAAAAAAAGACAACCATAAATTAAAATTGAAACAAACAGGAGAAAAAAAATAAACATTGATCAACATTGATCAATGTTCAACAACACACACACACACCAATTAAAGGGATGAAGAGTATTTCTTACTCATACACGTTAACAACAATAAAAACAAGTAGTTCCTCTTGTTGTTTTAAAAAAAAAACATCTTTTCAACTACTCATATTACTGTTGATAAGTTTTTATATGGATAGTATTTGTCATTCTAGGTGTTTTTGTCAAAGATAAACTAACTAACTAACTATGCACGTGCAATAAATATACTTGTACACATATATACATATATATATTTATTCTGTTCTGTTTAAAAGAAGAAGGATGAGTATGCGTATATTTTTTGTTTTTGAACGTCTTTTGTGTAGTGCAAACTTATTATGAATATGCGCGTCATTATTGTTGCTTTGCACTACAGATCAATGTAGTTTGTTTAAAAAAAAAGTAGTGGGAATTAAATATACTCAAACATGCCAAAAATAAAACACTTATTTTAAACTTATTTAGATATATTTTTGTTAAAAAAAAGTTTTAATATCATCGTAAATATATCAAAAATATCATGTCATTATTATTTATTTGACTGAATGTATACATATACTTTTGAATAAATTGAACATTGAATTATTATGTTCAATCGTGTGTAAGTTTTAAATCTTTTTCTGAAAAATAACTTTATTTATTGTCCTACAAATAATATTTTTTACAATGATTCACGATGTTATAAACTGAATATATTTGAAAAAATGAAGTCTTGAAAACTTTGAAATGTTACATATCTATTTCATGTTAAGTTCATAAAGAATAGTAATAGGACATTGTATAGATTTCAAGGTGTCGTTTTCCCTAAATTAGATGATTTAGTCAGGGGAATCTTCAAAGTCCTTCTAGATAATATTATTTACTACATACTACCATAAGTGAGATTTAGAATTCCTTTTCAAATGACATACAGCTTAATGTTGGTTTAACAGTGGTTGATTGATCATTTCAGTGAGTGAAAGCACTAATCTCCATAACTCTAATTAAAAAATATCATGCAGTGTGTTTACTGGTGACTAGCTTCGTGGGGAAATTCTCGGAGTTTTGGTGAGAAGACGTGACCAGTGGAGTTCAACCCTGTCGGGTGTAGGCATTAACTACCGAAGACAAATGAGTGAGGTCGCGCAAAATCCTCAGATTGTTCAGAGTTAGACATTAACACTGCCGGATGCCGGCTCACTGGTGTAAAAGTTAGGTGTTCATGTGCAAAACCGAAGATCCTGGGTTCGAATCCTGCGATTGGCATGAGTCTTGGATGCGTACTGCTGATGAGTTCCTTACCAGGACTTGACGGCCGTTCAGTGCTTCCAGGTATCTAATGGTGGTATTCTAACAATGACTGATTCATGATTTCAGTGTGTAAAAACACTAGTTTACAACCTTGCACTTGAACATTGGGGATTCTACTACTAACCCTTTCATATCAGTATTTTATTTAAGTTTGACTGACTCCGTAGATGTCCTTATCGATAACCCTACGCAGGATCGAGTTCAGTTAATTCAAAATCACAAGGTGAATAGCTTAACTGCACTGACTCACAATTCTAATTTCATTCAGTTGTCTTTCTTGAAAATTAATAATCATCTGGTACTCTAGGTAACTTGATTAAATGAGGTTGTGGCAGATTAGCAGAGAATGCTTGGTTGATTGGTTACCCATAGGGATATGAACTAACCAGCTAAAGACTTCTATTATTATTCTCTACAAACTATACATTCGCCTATTAAACAGGTTTGCTCTATCGAAGTCGATAATTATTTATTTACAAGTATTTAACGCAGAATTTGTATTTCTAATCAATCTAGTGTTTATTCCACTTCGAATGCTGACTTTTCAGCTTATGACACTTTACGCAATTCTTTGCTGTACGACAAATATCTGCATTTATCTCTGGCCATCAACACGTGAGCCTCGCCAAGGACTTCATTTTCTCAACACCTAAATGTCCACTATGAAGATCTTCCAGGACAGCTTTACGCAATGAAGGAGGAATAACAACCCGATCATTTAAACACAAAATAACATCAGGAGTAGTGGATAGCTCATCCCGCTTTCAAAATAGTTAGGGAATCTACGTTACAGATTAGCATTCCAACCTTTCCGTATAGCATGAATTATACATCCAAAGTTTCTACGAGTTTCCCTAATGAGATCTGGATGTTTCACTGGTAAAGGTGGCACCAACAAACGGTCTGAAGTATTAATAGGTTTATCTTGTAATGACTGTCGAGAAGTGTAGTCAACATGTTGAATTTGTTTGGCACTCCTGTGTTGAACCGTATAGTCGTAGGCACTCAAAGCAATACTCCATCGTTGAACCATAGCAGCTGAGGCACGTGCTAAGGATTTTTCAGGATGATAAATAAACTGTAAAGCCTCATGATCAGTAACAATAGTGAATTTCTTTCCGAATAAATATTTATGAAGTCTTTTAACAGCCCAAAACACAGCTAATGCCTCTCGCTGAGTCTGTGAATAGCCTTGTTCAGTAACAGTAAGTTTGCGTGAAACACAAATAACTGGTCTACCTTCCTGTTCCAAAACTGCGCCAATACCCACAGGTGATGCATCAGTGATAAGCACAGACTGTACACTAGGGGAGTAAGTTCGAAGAACAGCATCACTTTGAAGAAACTTTAGTAGACTACGTAAGCATGACTCTTGTTCCTCACCCCATTTGAATCGATTGGATGTCAAAATATTAAATAAACAATTTGCCCGACAAGAAAAATTAGGAATAAAACGGGATCAGATCCTTGATCAGTTTTACATACACATTGAAAAGTCATGTTTATTTCGTTTAAGCAATGTGATATTAATTAATGATTTAATAGTCCATAGTTAGAAACTCTCTTCTATAGCTGACTATCATTTGAATATTGATTTAGGGACAATTCATATATTTCTGCCTACTGAACTCAAACAACTACAATAAGGATTTCAGTTTCACCGATAATTTAAATCATAAAGCTTACTGATGTATTTAAGGTGAAAATTAAAACTTTTTGCATCAATCAATAATTCAGTTCTTCAATGGATGACATATTCGGTATTTTAAAACGAAAGATATGAAGTTCGCATCCCAATGTTAATAGCAACGCATACAGAGATGTGGGTACACTGAGCTGAAGAAACTCGAGTGTGACGAAATGAGTGCAAGGCATATATTTTTTAAAGAAACTATGAATTACAGATATGTTTAGAATTTTGTTTTCATGTTTGTTTTATTGATTAGAAGAATTGTTTTACTAAATTTTGAATTAACGACGGAGTTGTTATTGTTAGTATGATTAGTGTTATTAAATCGTCACAGTGTGGTGCGAGCTACTTATAAGTAGTATATGACGTGAGTGTCAACGTCACGTCTGGCAGCAGAAGATGGGGAAAGATCAAGAAAGGAAGAGTTAGAAGAACACAATGGAATTTGTATGAAACGCATGAATAGTGACAATGGATTGATGTTTTGCAACAGGAACAGTCCAGTTCGATATGATGAACTGATATTTTTCAAATGAACGATTTACGATATGGTTTTCCTATTTTACTGAGTAACTCTGTAATTTTCGTTAAATACAATTCGGTTGCCCTCACATGTGTTCTCCTTCACTACAACAGTTGTTACATTTTTTAAATGTCAGATATTGGTAGGATCAAGAAACAGATTAAAAGGGGGATGCAATCAAAATAAAGGTGCAAACAACGAAAGGTTTAAGGTCAATAACAACCAGTCAAGATCAAGGTCAACAAGACAAGCTACGGATCAAATACTCTTCACTTCTTCTATCTGAAGTTTATGCTGATGATATTGTTGTTCAGAAGAACAATGATGAAAGCCACACAACCAAAACATCCAGCTCAGGGAATGGAACTCAACCACAATCATTCACTTGAGCTACAAATATTTTCTCCACCATCTCAGAATTGATACTGATAACCAAAAATGACAGAGTATTTCTGTAATTAAATTCAAAAAAGTAGCTTAATGAACCAGTGGTATCAACTGGTATGACATCTCTTGGTTTTTATTCAACTTACCACAGAAGCAGCTAACGTTTAAGCTTTGGATCGGTATTGGCTAAGTATTCATTCTACTTCAGTCGACGAATGTTAATAATACAAACGATCGACCTGTCATTTTTACTTAATACCTTTGGCATATCTTGTATATAGTTAGCGTTTTTTTGGCAAGTTAGTTTTTGACGGGATGGGGTCGCCAACCCCATGCCCAACCCTCCTCCTTTATCCGGGCTTGGGAGCAGCAGTAGCCCCGAAGGTTCTACTGCACCAACCAAATCACTGTTGATGGAGATGCTTTGGAGGACATTAACACCTGTACATATCTGAGCAGCATCATCGACAATCAAGATGGATCCGATGCAGATGTGAGGGCGTGAATTGGCAAAGCAAGGGCTGCATTTCTACAGTTGATAAATATCTGGAATTCCAAACAACTTTCAACCAAAACAAAAATCACGATTTTCAATACAAATGTCAAGACAGTTCTACGGTTTGGAGCGGAAACTTGGAGAACTACGAAAGTCATCATCCAGAAGATACAAGTGTTTACTAACAGTTGTCTATGCTCAATACTTCGTATTCGTTGGCCAGACACCATCGGCAACAACCAACCGAGGAAAAGAACAAACCAGATTCCAGCTGAGAAGGAAATCAGGAAGCAGCGGTGGAAGTGGATAGGACACACATTGCGAAAAGCACCCAACCACCTCACATGAAAAGCCCTCACTTGGAAACATCAAGGACAGGGGAAAAGAAGAAATAGCAAAAAACATATTACGCCGAGAACTAGAGACAGATATGAGAGAAATGAACAAAAATTGGAGAGAGCTGGAAAGGGACAGGGTTGGCTGGAGAAAACTGGTGGGCAGCCGATGCTCCATTGAGGGTAACAGGCGTAAGTAAGTAAGTAAGTAAGTACTATCTTGTATATATCCATTAGTCAGGTTCTATTTCCAATTCAGTTATCGATTAAACAAATATGGCTATTCAAATATCTCTTGTCAAAATCAAAATTCAATCAAACTAAATATTTTCATATAAATTAAGCATCAAGTATGTTGAAGATCATTTCTAAATTCAATCCCTAACATTATTACAAGTGGAATTTTTATATCTTTAGAAAAAAATCAGTTATACTACTACAATCACTATTAATCAAAAATAAGTAATATACAAATGTGAACTTACATTTTTATGTAATAATTTCAATATAAGTGTCCTCAAATTATCCAGCAATGCATTGATACGATCACGTCGTTTACGTTCTGTCATTTGTTTAGCCATACGACGATCATGTTTTGTTGTAGTCAAGCCTTTTCTCTCAGTTCCATCTTTATTCATAGTCAATTTTCCCTCTGGTGATAATGATGATGAGACCATTGATCGTGATGATGTTGTTGTTGTTGTTGTTGTTGTATTCATGAAGGTTGTTGTCACTAAAGATTCTGATGTGCTTGCCACTATTGTTTGTGTACCATTTAACAAATGTAAATTTTTAAAATTTCTATCTGATCCAATGATCATGGCATTTTTCAATTCTCCTAGTTCTTCATAGTGAATCTCCTGTTCATCATTTGAATCACATAATGAAAAAGATAATTCATTTAAATCTGATTCTGATGTATTTGAACTATAATTTTTATAGGACATGGTTTTGTACAGGCAAAGTGATTTCTAATGAATTATGGATTAGATTTCTGTTTTTTTTCTGAAAGAGGAAGGAGGATTTTAGTACAAAAATATGATTATTTTTTCTGGGAAGATTTTGATTGGTTCATATTTCTTGTTTAGTGATTGGTCAATTATTTGCAAATAGATGATGGTTATCTACTCTTCTCTTGAGGTACTTGTTGTTGGTCATCGTGATATGAAATTAACTGATTACATTATAAATTGTATACCTCACAAATAGATTTTGATAAAAAAAAGTTAGTAGTAGTAGTAATGATAATAATAATAGTAACGATAATGGTAAGCTTTTAGATGTTTATAAATGTAAGATCACCTTGAACAGAAGTTGAAAATGTTATTAATTAGAATCCAAATTGAATATTATGGGTACACTGTAAGATTTCTAGGTTCAGCTTCTAACTGGCTAATGGTTATTCATCGGTGAAGGGTCCCCCCCCACAAATTTGCAATTAAATTGATTTTTACAAAGAGGTTTATGATACGCTGTTGTAAGGCAAGGTTGGAAGAAGTCTAAGGGAGGCTAAAGCATAAAGTGAAATCAGGACAGAAACTCAATAATTTCTAGATTAGGCTGTATATGTACACGTGGACTACTATGTGGAGGTAACGTCATCAGTGGATGGAGGTGTTTGGCGATACTTCTTAGGATCAGTCGCAGTGGCTCAGATGTATTCACTCTTAAATCACTCTTAGTTTATCTGATGATTTTTACTCTTTGCCTTGATCATTTTTTCTCGAACCCTGTTTTCTGTACCTTGTGTCTTACTACTAACGTTAGTATTATTACTACTTCTAAAGTTTTCGGACAGAGTTTCGGAGGTTTGTGTCTTTACACATTTGAAATCATCAATCAATCATTGTTAGACCACTACCATTAGAAACTTGGAAGCACCGCAAGACGGCCATCAAGTCCTGGTATTGGACTCTTCTGCAGTGCACATTCACGACTCCTGCCAATCGCTGGATTCGGACTAGGGACCTTCGTTACAGTGTGCGAACGCCTAACCTCTGGACCTTGTGGGCCGGCATCCATCGGTGTTAATGTCTAACTTTGATTGATCTACGGATTTTGCGCGACCTCACCCATTTGTCTTTGGTAGTTACTACCTACACCCGACAGGGTTGAACTACATTGTTATATCTGTCTTAATAATTTGATCTAGTTGTGTTCGTGTGGTGTGGCACTCAACTAGGACCAATACACACATATGTGCTAAACTCTACGTTATTTATGACCAAATGACTAACATTATCTTTAATGCGCAGAATACAGTTGATAATCGATTTATATAAATTAATTAATCGTAAAATTACAGTGTGCGGATTATGTGGTATGTAAAATGAAAACAGAATAAACATGAAAATCCAATTGTATTTAAAATTACTAATGAACTGATGGGAATCGTGTGGAGATTCGCCTAAGATGTGGGATTGATTTTCTAGCAGTTATAAGTTAGTGAAGACTCATCTGAATTTTCTGAAAAAGCATCCATTTCTGCAGGCTTAAAATCTCATATTGTGTATGAGATTTAGTGGAGAAATTGTGGAAACCCCTTAGGTTTTGTGGCGTGGGTGTCACTTCAGAAGCAAACATACATTTACATGTATACAAGTAATATATAAGTTTTCACACATGTAACCCATGGCTTAAACATAGGTATACTCAGCTGGGAACAAATATACATTACATGAACACAGATAACATATAATTTTTCACTCATGCATTCTATGGCGTATATATTGGTATATTCGTCCATTGGGAGAGTAGATGGCCACCACTCCTCAGTTTTTGAGACTCATTTCTACTTTTTGCAGACCTGTTTTTCATCTCATTTTTTGTTGGATGGGATTTGCTTTTTGATATAAAGTGGGAGGTTTTTCAGCTGTCATGTCCTGTTACAAGCCATTTATGTAACCTTTGCCTAAAGCTACACACATAAACTATACAAACCGAAACCCCCACAATTTATATACTTTTGCAGACTAAGTTTTGTGAGCTTCGAAAAATGGACTCCGTGAATCCAGATTCCGCACGTAGATTGTCAGATTAGTTCAATATCAAACGACCGCCAGCTGACAGGGTTTTCCCCGTTACCAGTAGCACCACAAGGAGGCTTCAGGTTGGATGTTGTTGCTAACTTACTTTACTTATTTAAGCCTGTTACCCCAGTGTAGCATAGGCCGCCAACCAGCATTCTCCGACCTACTCTGTCCTAGGTGTTCCTTTCCACTTCTACACAACTGCTTTTTATTATCCTCATGTCTGTCTCCAATTCTGGGAGTAGTGTGTCCTTTGGTCTTCTTCTTTTCCTTTGGCTCTGTGGACTTTAAGTCAGGGCCTGTCTACAGACGCAGTTGGGTACTAACTTCAATGTATGTTCTATCCTTTCTCCAGTGCATTTTCTTAATTTCTTCCTATACTGGAATCTAGTTTGTTCTATCCCACATACCAAAAAAGGAAGTGATCAATTTCAGTCCTTAATATCAACAGAGGAATTCAAATAATACTTACAAATTTAATCGAAATTCGTCCCCATCACACAAAGCAGTAGTGTCTATGTGGATGACGCTTTGAATATTTAAAGTGAAATACACTGGATTCCAATCCAGAAGCAGGTACAAATCAAACCAACAAATCCCAATAAAGATAAGACGTGTCCATTTGGATTCCATTGTTTTAGCCATTATCTAATCGAATTTGATATAAATATTAGTTTGTAAATGATGAAAACTATTTTTAAACTGTGGTAATTAAGTTCTCTAGATAGAACATGAATTGAGCAGGACTTGTACATTGAAATGTCATTGAAGTTAACGAGGTGATTATTTGTATTGTTTGGATATACAGAATTCAGTTAGCAGTAGACATTTTATAACATAGTGTAGTGAGCGAGAACACATGTGGGGCAACCGGATTGTATTTAAAGAAAATTACAGAGTTACTCAGTAAAATAGGAAAACCATATCGTAAATTGTTCATTTGCAAAATATCAATCCACCACATATCGAACTGGACTGTTCCTGTTGCAAAACATCAATCCATTGTCACTATTCATGAGTTTCATACAAATTCCATTGTGTTCCCACTCTTCATTTCTCGATCTTCCCCCATCTTCTGCTGCCAGACGTGATGTTGACACTCACGTCATATACTACTTATAAGTAGTTCACAACACAATAGTATTGATTATTACTCATTGGTTCATGAGTGTAATAGATTTTTTTTCTCTATAGTTCAAAAGTAATAATATATTCTAGAAGATTGAGGTTATCTACAACATTTTCAATGTTCAATAATATGCAATGTTAATGTCTAACTTGATCAAATTCACGGAGTTGCGCAACCTCATACAAAGTCTTCGGTAGACTAGCTTCGTGAGGAATCTTCTCCAAGTTCTAGTGGGAAGACGTGACCAGTGAAGTTCAACCTGTTCGGGTGTAGACAGTAACTATAGAAGACTGTGTATGAGGTTGCGCAACTCCGTCAATTTGATCAAGTTAGACATTAACAACACCATTAGATACCGGCTCAGTGGTCTAACGGTTAGGGCGTTCGCGCACAATACCAAAGGTCCTGGGTTCGAATCCTGCGGGATGCAGGGTTCGTGGATGCGCGATGCCACTGATTAGTCCCATACCAGGACGAAACGGCCGTCCAGTGCTTCCAGGTTTCTAATGGTTGTCTAAGATTGATCGATTCATGGTTTAAGAAATGTGTAACCTAACAATCTTCCAAACCCCGTAATGCAAATATGCAATGTAGTTGACATGTTTAATCTTTCTTTTCATTCAATTAATAAGTGAATGGGACATATTAATATATGATTTAAATTGGATGCTTATTTTTTAAAACCCCAACTTTGACAAAATTTGTATTTTGAATCCTTTGTATTGAATAGTTATAGATAACTTTAGACGCCTTGAAAAAATATTTACATAAAAACTACATTCTAATATTCAATGCTTTTCAACTGAATAAAGGAAAAAATATAACCGGAAGTGCTTGATACAACCCGGTTTTTTTTTAGACATTGACTATATATTGAGAATATTATCATGGAAAATAAGATACAGTTTATATTTTTGGGAATAGATTTAACAACAGTTATATATATATGTACATTCAGAATATTTCGTGAACTAATCCGTTCCAGCTCAACTTATTGGTTGATAACTCCTTCTGAAGCCCTTCTGAGTTTACTGCCGGTCCCATGTCTGGATCACGAAGGAGGATTGTGCATGGGGTTAGCTATCCCATCCTGTAGAAATCCAATTTGCCCAAAAAAAAGTACTCTAATCAAGAAAAATCATACTGTGGTCGGTGGCCTAGGTCTCATTTAAAGGTAGTACGTGTAATTAATTAAGTAAGTAGGTTAGTTATTAGTTGATAAATGTACTAATCCTAACAAGTTTGAAATTGTTTCGTTTAACCTCCTTACATGTGAACTATGAAGAGTACTTTTATATTGAATTGAAACATTTTGATTTCTAATTGTTTCCCACGTGAAATAAATATTATCACTAACTTCATCATAGTAGTTAGTATAAACTCTTCTTGATCGTGTACTAACTAACTAACCAATTAGGGTCATACTATTTTTGACCATGTACACACATTATTTTATTCATAATTAATATGTATTCACTGGTGGTGTATACATAACACAATGATGATTTATTATTGTTTTAAAAGGTAACTGTTTCATTTTTTTAATAGAAAATAATTTAATACTACTGATAAATAGGAGCAAGTGTAAGTCAGTGTGTGTGTGTGTGTGTGGGTGTGTGTGTGTGTGTGTGTAACTTCGTGTATGTAAACATGGATGAATGACACCATGACGAGTAAATTTTCAATAAGTTGACCTTAATTTAAACAAGATATTGAACAATATTGAACAAGAAATAAATTATAACAGATGGTAACAATAAAATATAATAATAATATTAGTAATAATCCG